TATGTTTGTAGCTGTGCCCTACTGGAGTTGTTACAGCGGCACCACGCTCATCCTTGCCTGTGCTTGGGTTTTTGGGCAAGTTTCTTGCTCCAGCCCTGGCATTTATCCAAGGGGATGAATGAAGAGCTGTCTGCATCAGGAACCACTGCTGGCGCGTTCCCCTCACACCCCTCGTGTGCTGCAGGCGCTCGCTGTGTCACGGGCTCTGACCCAAACGCTGTACCTGCTGTCCCTGCCTGCACATTAAGCTTTAACACTTATTATCACCCATCCGACCGGCAAATAAGAGCTAAAGCTTGGATGCTGGGATAACACAGACCCCTCTCCAACCATTTTCCATTTCAGATGAAAGAAGAGCTGAGCCAGGCCATGCCAGCGCCTTCACCGCCCGCCAAGGAGCAGGAAAGCTGCTGTTACTTTTACCATGGGCAACCACATCTGCATTAATTGTTTACCACAGCCCGGACAGGTCTTTTATTAATATTAATGAGTAAGAAGGAACAAAAGGCTCCTTTATTTTTAGCCTACTCTAATTGCGTAGTAATTACTCATCTACAAAACAAATGAGCCGAACTCCATTGCCATAGCAACAGCAACTCCGGCCTCCCACTGTACCACATTAACTGGCTATCACTCCTGTAATTCGAAATTGAAGCCTTTTCTACAATAACAGACAATACAGGAGGAAAATTAAATCAAAACCAGGTCTTTGTTTTGCTGCATAATTTAAGTCATGGTAGCAGGAGGGCCTGAGGGGCACCCTCCTGCTGCTGCTGGACCCTGATGGGCTGGGGGGGATGCTCAGGAGCACAGAGGGGTAATCCAGGTAACAGGAGAGGAATCCAGCCTGTGAACCCCCAGTCCTGTGCAACCACCCTCTCCTGTGGGAGAGTCTGCACTGGCACCTGGAGCAGACCTGTCTGGACACATGGGTGCCAAGGCGGAGTGAAGGATCCTCCACAGCATGTGCAGCAGGTAACAACACCCCCCTAAAGGACAACCTGAGCTCACCAGTGAGGAAACACTGGAAGAAGGTGTTGCCCACCACAAGGTGCCTGCAGGAGAGCTGGCAGCACCAGCTCTGTCGGCAGCTGACACTCCAGCCCTCAGCAGGGCACAGACACCTCAGAGTCCTCCTGACACAGAGCTCTGGGTTCTTCTAACTACCAGGAAATAACCATAAAAGCCCCAGCTGTGCGAGTTTATTATTTTTAAATAGCTCAGGTTTATATACCTGCAGATCCACTTTGCATTCTCCGGCAACTCCTAACCCACTGTGCTCCTCAAGCTCACACGGAGCCAGATGCACACTAACATCTGCTGTGAGGAAAAACTCCTCTGCCCCTTTGGCAGTTTTCTATTTCAGAAAGGAGAGAGGGGAAAAAAAGTAATTATGTATTTACTTTTAAAGCATTTGGGGAGAGAATGAGCATGAAAATAGTGACAGTAGTACATCAGGACAATGTGTGCTGCCTCCCAGTTGTTCCACTAACAGGTAACAGCCTGCAACTGCTGCCAGAGAGGCAAGTTACCCTCAGCTCTGGCAGTATTTTACCTGTTTAGGGATTAAAATGCATGAGACATGATCCTGTGCTCGAGGATCTCATTTCACTGGAGCACTTGTGCTGAAACTCTGCAGCGACTGAAACACTTCAAACTCTGCAGCAACTCGGCTGCATCTTGCGTGGAACAAAGTCTAATTACAACAGCCCAGAGCTCTGTCCCTCCACTTCCACTGGGAGAAAGGGTATTAAACACAGCTAATTGGCTTTGGCAGGGCTTTGGAGGCTACCAAAGCCCTGTCACCAGTGAGCAGGACTCTGCCCTGGCAATCAGCCCGCCCGTGGCGCAAGGTAGCGGCCACGTCGTCACCACTTGACGTGTGTCAAGAGCAGCAGCTGGGACAGCGGGATCAAAGAATCAAGGAATGGTTTGGGTTGGAAGGGATCTTAAAAATCATACAGTTTCAACCCCCTGCCATGGGCAGGGACACCTTCCACTAGCCCGGGTTGCTCCGAGCCCCATCCAACCTGGCCTTGGACATTTCCAGGGATGGGGCAGCCACAGCTTCCCTGGGCAACTTGTGCCAGGGCCTCCCCACCCTCACAGGAAGGAATTTCTTCCTAAATGAAACAGCTCTGGTTGAGCTCTCAGCGGACCTTTTTGCCGTTGAAAATAATTCTCTCAATGGAAAGGACTGTTAAAGTTACCCACTAAATTCATTACAGATTAACTTCAACTGCACTTCAGAGGTGGTCACTAATTGCACTGGAGATGATTCATCAAGTGCACGAGATTTTCTATTACAAAATTATTGATTAAAGCTGATGTATTTTAACCTCAACAGACTTCAGCCCGATGCCCTGTCAAACACCCACTGCTGCAGCCAAGGCCAAGCAGCAGCAGCAGCACCAAATTGTTTTAGATCTACTCAATTTTCTGTTTAGATCCACTGAGCAGGAAGCTCAGTCCCTTGTGGATCAAAAAAGATCCAGAAGTGGCATCCTACAGTAAAACAAGACACAGGGTTTCTGTCTGAGCCTGCACTCTGGAGAGGACCTGTGGGATTCCCACCCTGGACCAGCAGAGCACTTCTGAACCAAACAGAAATGACTCCCCTTTCGTTACTACTATTCTTTTAATTGGGGATAGTAGTCAGAAAAGTAACCGTAGTGCTCCCAGTATTGCCAGTAATGAGGCTAAAACCACTTACAGGAATTTGGCTCCTCCTGAGTGCATTCAGCACCCGGGGCTGCTCTGGCACAGCCTGGCTGCTGGAATTCCTGTTTAAGCCAGGATTTTGTCCTTGTGCCCACCCCTCCCTGAAGGCCCTGAGGTGTGGGGCCCCTGCCTGGCCACCTGCCATGCTCCCCAGCGCACACTGTCTCTGCCAGGGAGATAAGCAAAGGATAAAATCCGATGCAGCCATTAATTTCCCGATGCATCACCCGCTGGGCTCTGTCACATAATTACTGGCGGTTCCAGCAGAGTGAGAAATTCCAGCCCTTGCTGCTCCCAAGTGGTCCACTTGTTAGGTTCTGGCTTTTGAGATTACATAGCTTGGATTAAACTTTATGTACTTTTATAGAGGAGAATAAAAAAGGGAGAGCAGTTCCATCAGAGCCGCCGTGCCACAAGGGAGTCCTCCCAATGGGCCGTATAAACCCCAAATTGGTTCATTGCTGGATCTTTGAAATGCTCCCCCTGATATCTCTGCGAGTCGGTGGCAGCTCCTCTGCCCTGCACACACAGACCAAGCACTGCCCCCCTTCTTATGGCCATAATTTGCTAAACTATGAGTAGATTAAATTTTAGAGCACCTTCCTTAAGTGCCAGACAAGGCTTCCTCAGCCCCATGCAATTTGTTGCTCTGCTGACTTTCAGCCAGACTCCTCACTTCATCATGTGCCGGGCACATTAAACAGTGGGTCCCCCCATTTCCCTGGAAGACTGAGATCCAAAGGGGACATTATCCCTCTCCCTTGACACACAAGTGTTGAGCTCCCTGGCAGTACCAGGGGCGGCTCAGCTTGCCCTGCACCACGTCAGCCCCATCCCAGGGCTTGTTTGCTTGATTTACTCGACATTCTATTGGAGGTAAGGAGTGGATACAAATCCTTAATTACATTTGCAAAGCCCACTCTGGGTATTTTATTTCCCTGGAAGGCCCTGGCTGCTGTAAGTGCACTAACAACTGTATGGCTCTGCCCAGCAGAGCAGGAGATGCTCCCACCCACCACAACTGGTTTTGGGGACAGCTGGGGCGCGGGGAGGAGAAAAGGGGTGACCATCCTGTACAGGAGCTTTTCTATTCCCAGCAGGATGTTTTCTGACAAACAACAAACTAAACCAAGGCCTAATTTGGGATCTCAATTACCATCTGCTAAATTTACTGACTGCATCATTTTCTCTGAATTTTCAAAGTTTAGCACAGAAACCCTGGGCAGGAGAAGCGAAGCCACTGCTGGCTCTTGGCAGAGAGGATGAACTTGCCTCGAACTCCTCATGCTGATATTTATGAAATGTTAAATCTTCATTTAAACACGTTCCCTTAAGCTGGGTGACATGGCAATGAGTACGACCCATTACTGGCTCAGAGTCTCTGTTGCATAATAAGATTTAAGGTTTATGACCTACAGACAATCGCTTGGTGGCTCAGGACAGGCTGCAGGGAGCCGCCTCACACACACACGGAATTATTTGGATTCCCAAATGGAGTGATTTGCGTGTGGCACATCTGGTCTACGACCGCCAACGAATGAGTCTATGGGCTAATATGGACGAGTAACAGGCTGATGGAGAAACCATGATTGTAAAATGATTTAAAAAATATCTTAAGTTCTTTTGGATACAAAATAAAAATAAGAGAATACAGTTATAGCCAGTGTTTTAATTCCTGGGGGGGGGTGTGTTAATTTGAAAAAAAAAAAAGTAACTGCAATTTTACTATTGGCATAACAGCATGTGCGGGTTCTTGTACGGAGGGTGTAGGTTGCCTACAGCCGGCTTCAATTTATACTTCCAGATAATGGGATTTAACAAATAGGGCACTATGGATCCAAGCCTTTAGCAGCTCTCTGCTGTATTATCCCTATGCTTTCAATCAGACCAAGGCTCTGCTTTTATCTGCCACGCTCGTTCGCGTTGATGGTGCCTATAATATCAACTCGACAATGCATGTTCTACAACTACATCTACTGCTACCAGTACGACTACTACAGTGCATGCATTTAGTTCAGTCCCACAGATACATACACTCTAAGAACAGGCAAGGGGAGATGTGAAATGTTTTACGGGACGACAGGTGTTTTGTTTTTTAAGTAAGGGAAATTAATAAAAACATCAAAAGAAAGAAAGTGTACAAAAAAATAGAGACATTTCTCAAGAGTTGATATGAGTCGTTTCTTGAACCGTTTCGTCCGAACAAGCAAAAAACATGCAACCAGCTGCTACTAACAAGAAGCTGGACACTGAGAGAGGATTAATAGGTGTGGACAAACCTTCCCGCTGAGAGCGCTCAGAAGAGTGTTTGAGAGGAGGTGTGCACGTCCGAGTGTAAGAGAGGCCGGAAAGTTTGCCTCAGAGACACCCTCTCTCACAGCAGCCCCAACCAAGCAAGAGAGAAAACAACAAAACATAACTGCTCACACTCACCATCAAGGTCAGTAGCTCACGTTACGAGATTTGTTATTGCTGGCAAGTATAAAGTCCAGTAAGGGGTTGTTGGGGCGCAGGGCTCAAAGGCAGCGCTGGCAAGCCAGGACTGGGGCCCAAAATCCAGATGTGCCAGGGGCTGGGGTGGGGGAGCAGTTCCTGGTGCCGTGGCACCACTGTCCCACTGCGCCGTGTGCTGCTGGACGGCTCGGCGGGCAAAGCGCGCCCGGGGGAGCTGGCACTGCTCACCTGGGACAGGGCTGGACCACAGGTGGCCTTATGGGTTTTGTCTCCAGCCCTCAGGGAGGAACAGCTGGTGGCAACGGGTTGGGAACTGGAAAAATCTCAGACTTGTTAATGAACCAAAGAGGAAGGAACAAAAAAAACCTCTCCTGCCAAATTTTCCTTGTCTCGCTCTCCTGCCAGATGAACCCCTCCCATGTCAAATGCAAGAGAAAAATGTGCCCCCCCATGACTGTATTTTAAAAAAAGCGTTTACACGACAAAAATGTTTTACACGTAAAATATGTCAGGTGGATTCAAAAGAAACGTGACACTGATAGTGAAGTTGTCTAGGAGGAGTTTGCAGCATTCAGACTTTTAACTTTGCTTGTTTTCCATGGCTCAGGTCCCAATTCATTAAAAAAATACAAGAATGGGTGAGGTTGTCAAAACCAGCAGAGGGATTGGGCAGCACAGTCCCACCCGGAGCAAATGGATGTGGCCAGACCCGTGTCTGCTCGAGGGACCTTGGCTATTGTCTCATCACTGGGACATCGACTGGGGATGTGATTTATGGAGAGCAGCACTGCTCTGCTCACCCTGCCGGCACACAAGCAGCTACGCAGGACGTGAATTTATGGGTGGCACTGAGCACGAGGAGAGGGACACGTCCCTTTCTGCTGGTCGTAGGACAGAACTGCTGTGACAGATAAAAGAACTTGTTTATCTAGCCAGGTCAGCTGGTGACACGGGAAAAGGAAGGGGCAAAGGCAGGGAAGACCAGGCAGCACAGAACCAGGGCCGGGCGCTGCCCCGTGCAGGTACCTGCCCCTGGCAGGCTCCTTCTGTTGGCTGAGCAAACATGCGGGTGACCCAAGAGATGGAGCATCAACTCGGGGAGAAACCAAGGTGGTCAGTGCTCAGGGGCTTGGAGTGAAAGGGTTGCAGCTTCCCTGGGAGACCAAGATGTGCAGCTGAAGGTGGATGCTCTCTGGGGGCACTCAGTCTCTGTGCTGGCAGTGATGCCAGGAAGGTGGGGAAGAGCCGGCAGGACAGGGCCGGAGAGCAGAGAAGGTCAATTTTGGGTGAGCTGGTGAGGCTGGAGCACTGCCGAAGGAGCAGCAGTGATGGGGACACTGATGACATGGACTGTCATCAATGCTTTCCAGGAACCTCCTGGCCTGTTTGCTCTGTGACAGGGGCAGCTCCAGCAGCCCTGGGCAGAGCCCTCCCCAGCAAGTCAGGGGTGGTGGGATGCACCTGCCTGGGTGTTTTCCAGCTCTTTCCTATTTCCTGGCAGAAAGGGCCAGTTAGGGCCAGCTGTGCAGTGCTCTGTGCTTTGGATCAGGCACATGTGAAGGAGTACTGTGCGAATTTGTGAAGGAAAAAGAAAAACCCAACTGAAAAGGAAAGAAGAAAAAAACCCCAACCATTTTTCTTGTAATGAATCGGGCCCGTACACTGCAGCGCAAGATCGATCGGACTCCACTGCTCCTGGATACAATTCACTACCATTGCTGATGGAGTGGAGAACCCAGGATGTCCCTTCCAAAACCGGCTTTGGATGGAGATGACTCTACGGAAACCCCACCGTTCCCAGAGCACAGTCTGGTGCAGACGTGAGTGGCCGTGGGGCCGGTGACGAACCCATCTTCCTCCTTGAGACCTCGGGGCTGGGGAGGGACAGGGGCTCTTTGGATTCAGTTTTGGGGTTTTGCCAGTTTTGTGCACACAGGCAATTTTGAGGCTTGAAAAGACATTTCCAAACACCATACTGCTCTTTAAACTTGCCAGAAAGGGTGTTGTTAATTTAGGGTTAGATTTAGTTTCGTATTGCAAGTTCAAATCAAAAACCAAAAGAACTGAAAAAACAAAACAGAAAACCCAACAAAAGAGAAACCAAAAAACACTCAAATTAAAGACAAATGATTTTCAGGCACAGAATTGATCAATGCTCAGTTCAGTTGTAATGGGCACCAAAAGCACTCCGATTAAAAAAAATAATCATAATAATCAGGGAAGCAACGTTAATCGAGCCAAACCCTCTGTGCCTTGCTAAGGGGCAACTCACCAGGTCTGTTTGCACGTAAAACAAAACCTGAAGGGCAAAACATGAGGAAGAGGCAGAAACAATGAGGTCTGTTTTCCTGGAAGCATATGCAAAAGCAATCTTGTTTCTCATTTAGGTTTGTTTTTCTCTTTGGGTTTGTTTTTCCCCCTCTGTGACGGGGCAGTAGGAGAAGCCGGGAGATGGGGGATCCCCACAACCAGGCTGGCAAGTCACCCCTTAGGCGCTCTCTACATGCCACAAGATGGAACTGGTACAGAGAGTCCTTTGTAGCCTGCAAGCAGTGCCAGTTTGCATGGAACGGAGTTCTCCTGGTGTCTTTCTTTGGCCTCCATGGCATTGGGCTCGCACTCGAGACACACCTGGGCCTGCGCCCTCCTCCTGACCCCTCACGCAGCCGTGGCTTTTCGGGGAGAGCCTTGTTAACCCACCGGCACTGCCAGAAAAGTCACTGAGAACCCCCAGCTCAGCCATGAGTGAGCTGGAAGGTGCTGCCAGCGCCGTGTCCTCTGAGGAGATGCTGGGGCAGAGGACACCGGGCTGGCAGCGGCTCCGTCCCGGCAGCAGCTCCATCCTGGCCTGGCTCGGGAGCCAAGCCCACAGCTCACCGATGGCTGCTCTGAACTCCTTGTCACCTGAGCAAAGTCCTAATTCGTGTGTTTGGCAAAATTTAAACCTAAGGCAGCAACGGTAATTGGCAACGATTTATTTATTTCCCTTAAGGGGAAAAAAAACAGAAGCTTTCGGAAGGACAGAAGAAAAGCTTTGGCATTCCTCGTGGAAGCAGTGCCACTGCTGATGGCACGAGTGACACTGTCCTCAAAGGACACAGCCCCTCGCTGGGGGGATGCTCTGTGCTGGCTGTGGCAGAGGAGGTGACAGCGGCTCCGGGCACGGCGGGAGCACCCGGAGCTGCTGCCACCACCTCAACCCAACCCCAGCTTCCCATGAGAAACCAAAACTTTTTTTCAAAAAACACAAATTAAATTTTTTTGGGGGGGTGTGTCTTTTAGAACCTTGAATTTAAACCAAAGAAATAAAGAAACCAACACAATAAAGGAATAAAGAAAGAAACAAATTGGAATATCTACCCTGGTTTTGGCAGTTCTCATGCCAATCTCCTGCAGGTGCTCCAGCCCCCGTGGCCTCTGCTTGTAGTTTGGGTTTGGGTCGGGACTGATTACTTAATTTTTATATAATTTTTTTTTGGATCTTTCGTTTCCAGGTCCCCAGGATAAGTGTGAGGAAAATCAGAGAAATGATGGAGAGCTGCAGCCACACAGAATACCGACAGAGCTTTTACCTGACCCTGCACTCTGAGGGTTTGCTCTTCCACGGGCCCCCCTACCTGATCCTCTTGCTGCTGCCACGGCCGCCGCTGCTACTGGTCCATAAGCCGCTGCCGGAAAACCTGGCCATGGAGAAAAGGAGAAGGGTAAAGAAAGAAGCTAGTGGGTACCACGAGTCTCTGCGGGGCCCAGGGTGGCCACCGAGGGCATGGCGTTCCCAGAGCTCGCCATCCCGGCTCTCCGTGCCACCAACAGGCACCGTGGTTGGGAAGAGCCGAGCCCTTGCCAGGTGCCCGCTGCCAGAGGGCCCTGCCAGCACAAACCCCTTTGGCAGAGGAGGAATGGGGCACCTGGCCATGGCACATCGTGGAGCCGAGGTGGACAGGCTGGTGGCAGAGCCCGCAGCACTCAGCTCATGTCTCTGTACTCCCAAACAAACGGGGTCATCCCGCTCCACAACCAACCAGGGAATTCTCTTCCAGGCTTATTTGCAAGTGATAATAACGTGCTGGTCTATAGACAGAGCAGTAATGGAAAATATGAGGAGGTCCTCGTGTCAAGATCACAGATTTGCTGGGATCAAGCAGAAAAAATTCAATGGAATGCAGTTTAAAAAAGAAAGAAAGAAAGAAAGAAAAAAGCTCTTGAAAGCAAAACAGCCGCAGATCAAGGAGCTCAGCGACATACCCCCTGCTCCAGGGGAGCAAGCCCTCCAGAGGAATGGAATGCTGCCAGCAAGATCGCAGATTTAATGTCTTTACTTAATTAACATTCACAAGATCTGTCAGAGACTGACTTTCAATATATGTATTTTAAGAGGGCAATGGCAAAGTCCAGGTGATCAGCAAGAACCCCAAACCTCAAAGTCAACAACTCCCGAGAGGTTCCTGGTTTCTGGGAGCTCCGACTGCTCCCGCTGCCCAACAGGACAACCCTGGGGGTGGCTGCCACGATGGGACCTGCCACTTGAGTGGGCCCAGGACTCTGATCACAGCTGCTTTGCAAGGCTGAGGAACCACAGAAAAACAACTGAGGCACAGAGAAAGAGAAGAGCGAGCCAGAGGAGCGAGCAAACCCCAGAGAGACCAGCAGACTACAGCCTCTACCTCTACACTATTGGCTCAGCTACAGCTCATCTATCAGGGCAAAGGAGCAGAGAACTAGACTAGAGTGACTTGAAACTACTTAATACATCAATTAAAAAAAGACATACTTGCATTTAAATATGGTAATAGGGCTGTTGGGGGAAAAAAATATCACAGGTAAATGTATGCAGAGGTTCCCCGGGCTGCTGCTCCCTGTGCACTGAGCCCAGCACCCAACCCTCAGGGCTGAGCTGAACCTGTTTGCTTGCAATTGCTACAGCCTCTGTGGGATGTGGGAAGCACATCCGGACTGGGGAATGTTATAATCTGTGTTAAACCTGAGTGTTAAATTCCCTCTTGCTGGGGATGGAGCCATCGACCCTGGTCAGGCTCCCCGACATACGATTAGTGTTGGAGCTGGGATATCCTGGACTAGGGAGACTTTGGAGTCAAACCAACCTCCAAAGAGCAAGGAAAGCATCTGCAGGACAAGGGCTGAGGCTCTGGGGCTTCATTCTCATGCAGAGCCATGGCTGGGCCAAGCTCCGAGCCCTCCCACTGTGGCTCAGGCAGCAGCAGAGCTGGCACCATTCCCCACCTCTCCCCCTGTTCCCTGCCCACCACGGCGCACGGCCCAAGAGCAGAGTCCTCAGCGTTCCCATGGCACCTCCACGACCAGCTGGCCACCCACAAATCTCTCATTTGGAGGCTCCAGGGGCTCCCTAAACCATCCGCAAGGGATCAAAGGAGCTGTGGATTTTCCATGGAATAAAATGCCTCTGCCAAAACCAATCAAATACCCTTCAAATCACCAAGCATCCCCTGAGAACAGCACAAACAACGGGGCTGGAAAGTTTGTTTCTCTTGTTCAGCTGCCAGGGACGCTCAAGATCTATTTGAAATGCAGGACAAAAAGTTTTGCCATGCAAAAGAAGAGTGAAATAACAAGGGTGGAGAAGGCGCTCCACGGAAAGAGCCTGAACAAAGGCTTCGTTATTGCATTCCAGTGGACAGATGTGTGAAAAATTAATCCCTCCGCCCCCAAAGAAAGCTTTTATCCCAATACTGAGATAAAAGCATCTCTGCAACATGGCACTCCAAACAACTCAAGTGTGATCGGCTGCTCGCGCTCCGTGCGGGAACGCTGCAGGCGGCCGGAGGCGGAACAGCCACAGCACCAGCTCTGGGAGCGGGAGATGGAAACGGGGATTGATTATCAAGATTGGCAAAACCCTGCTCACTGATACACTCACAGGCTGGTTCCATCACTGGAGAATCCCCAAATCAATCCAACGTACTGAAAGCAATCGATCCCCCCACTAAAACGCCCTCTGCCAGGCACCGCATCCATCGCTCAGCTGGGAACAGATTCTCTGGCACTGCTGCCAAGCCACTAATGCTGTGTGACCTCTCACCACTGTGCCAACTCCCTGTGGTAACGTGTGGCTCTTTGCTTCTGACCCTCCCAGCAGTGATAGGAAGCTGACACCGTTCCACTCTGCCTGACAGGGATCCCAGCACGGGGCACTGGGAACACTTGCAAGAGCTGGAGCAGGGGACAAGGAAAAGCTGTAGCCAGCAGAGCCCAGAGTTGAAAACAGTGGTCCAGTGTCACTGGCTTGGAGGGGACTGGGTGCCAGCAATGGGTGTCTGGGCAAGAGTACCATGCAGCCAATGGGAGTATCGATGGCAGTGGGCTCCAGATCCCACCCTGGCCAGGCCAGGCAGGGAGCACGGTCAGTCGGCACCAGCCCCACTCCCTCTAAGCCCTCTCGAGTCCACTGGAAAATCAGAAGGGTGGAGGGAGAGATCAATTCATTCCTTGTGTTTGTTTAAGGCACTGATTCCTGCCAGCACCATCCCTGTCCTTTGTGTACCCGCTGCTCCCAACTGCCCAGAGGAAACAAGCTCCCAGCGGTGCCCACTTCAGGCACTGCAATTAGAAGGTATTTTACAATAAATGTTTTGCACTGGGCTCACACACTGTCCAGGAAAGCCCTGAGGATTCACAGCAATTTCATGCTCTCTCATTGCTCAGAACAAGCCAAACCCAGCGTTCCAAGTGCAATTTTTCACAGAAAAATTTTCCTGCTTCCTGCATCAATAGTTTCACTTTAAACAGTGAAGCAGGGAGGGGAGATGGACACATCTGGGTTAAAGGCTTTGCCCTGAGGTCCCAGATTTGGTCCGTGGCTGGGTGCAGGCACAGGTGAGTTTGGGAGAAAGGGGATCCTGGGGCAGCACAGCCCTGGCTCACAGCGTCTGGTGCTTGGCATGGCACTGAGAGCCCGGGATTTAGTGGATTTTCCAGGGGCTTTGTGAACAAATCTGGTGAGAACAATGCTGCCTAAGCAAGGCCACTCTCCACGGGGGCTCGAGGGGCTCAAGAGGCCCTGCTCCACCTCCCACTCCAGTGGGATTGTTCCTTCTCAAATCACTGAGTTCTCTTTCCTCCAGCCTAGATGTGGCTACAAGGCAACCACGAGCGAGGGAATTAACACAAGAACCATATTCCACCCCTTCCTCCACACTGCCAGGACCCCCTTCCTCGCAGCCCTGGCTCTAAGACAAATCACTGACTCCTTCAGCCCTGCTCTGCTCAGCCCCTGAAGACCCCAGGTATTTTGCATCCCCAAAGCACACATGACCTCGTCCTCTAAAACAACCAAACAATAGGAATCATCCCAAAAAGAAGTCATAGAGATCATGAATTTAGTTCTTAAATAAAAAAATACCATGCAAAGAATTCCCTCTGCTTCTGATTTCTAAAGCACTTGGGTACCTGAGGTCGCATGTTCAGACTTCAGCAATGAGCACGGGGATTTAACATAAGAATAAAAATGGAAGCTGAGATGCTCAAATCATCACCTGACTTCAGAAAATAACCAAAATCGTGGGACACACATAGGGAATAAAATAAAAGCCACCATAAAACTACGACGAGGAAGCAACTCCCTTCCTCTGTGTTTATGAAGTGTTTGGAGTATTCACACACATGGGCAGAGGAGCTGCAGACTGCTCTGTGTGGGGCATTTTGGGGGTCCCTGTGCACGAGGGGATCGAGCTCTGAGGCTTCATCCCCCCAACAGTTCACCTCTTACACTCTGGTCCCCAGAGCACTGATCCGAACACCAGCCATTCAGGAGGGTCAATTGATCTACCAGGAAAAAAGTGAGAAGGCTGGAATATGAAATCATGTGCAGGTTGAGCGGGAAGAGGAGCAGGGGAGCTGATCCCCCCTTTTCAAACAGCGTTCCCAGCAGCTTTGATCAGCCCGAAAAGCTGTGTGAGGCTCAGAGCTGTCATTTCAGATGGGTTCTCGCTCCCATTATTCTTTCCATTAGGCACTGTTATCCTCTTTGGAGGATCTTTAGGCTTCATTTCAAAAGTATCAGAGACTCAAAACCATGAAGCAGAAGAGCCTGGTAGTTTTTTTTGAAGGCAGGCAGGCGTGGGTCCAATTTACCGCACAAAAACGTCATCTTTAATGGTGAGCACACACAGGGGAAAGCTCCATCCCAAAACAATCCCTTTATGTTCAAAACCTTCATCTTCCAGGCTCTCTGTCTCACACTCCCCTTCCCCTTCTATAAGGAAACACAGATCAGAAAGAAAAAAACTGCTACTACTCCAAGCATTAGACGAACAACTCAATGCTTAATATTTAGAGAAGAACATACCCACAGAGAAATCAAATATTCCCTAGAACTAATCAAAGATTGGGGTTCTACCAAATAATTCACAACTTGTTACTATGGTTTAGTAGCAATTAACTCTTTTGGATTTGATTGCAGACTCTGTGAAGCTCTTCCAAAGTCTGTAGAACGTGGAAGCAGCGACAAGCCCTGCTTGGAATGTCATGTGCTTCCCACCAGACAGGTCTGTTTTTGAAGAAGGGGGATGGCACTGTCCACACCACAGTCAATGCCAGGCACCGAGCACGGCAGACCCCCAGGGAAACAGGGAAGTTCTTTCCTAAGGTTTTGATCAATTCTATCAACACTTGCAGCATCTCCAAACCCACTCCAGCTCCTCCA